GCAAATTGAAAGAAGACTTAACAGACCAGGGAAATGACGTCATGAGTAGCCCATTGCAAGAATATTTGTTATTCGAAAAGATCTGCAAAATGATATAATTTAAGAACAAAACAAGTACTATGACAGAAAATAAAATGGTTATTATTTCATAAAGATACTGAACACAAAATAATACTGCATAAATGTGTAATCGTTAAAAGATGACAAATTTGCAAATCGAGCGCTATGTATTACATGGTGTCCTTAAAACAGATTCTTCCATATACAACGAAAAACTGGTAGAGTTTCAGCACTTCAAAATGCTACTTCGACGAACATGATCACCAAGCCTTAGACAGAAAGTGGAAATATTTGCGGACAGAATACTAGAAATGTTATGCAGAGAAGAGAAGGAATTCATGGGTGCGACCGCACACAAGTTCAATGCCCGAGATTCTAATTCGATCCTTGATTTGCAACCCCCACGTTTGTAATGGAGAGAACCTTTATGCTATACATGATTACATCATTTCAAAGTGTAATCATCTATAAAGTGTTCATTGTTTTATTCGTTTTCCTATGTGGGACAAACTACACGATTTCCCTTCAACACACCATCTTCCAATGCATCAACTTTGAACTTCAATTTCTCATTCACCCGAGCATTAATTTTGGTAAGTAAATATATGATTTCGATATTCTCACGGAGACGAACATAAATTAACTTTGATCTTCTTCCCAATTGATTGAATGAATCCCACTCAAAATTATGCCAAAAGTGGCTCACTAAGCCATATTTTCCGACAATATCTGCCCAAGAAACCTTATTACTGCATCTGGGAATTGCATCCGCAGCTGCTTTAGCTTTAATTATTGTATCAAATCCATCTCCAACAGTGACGGATTATCTGGATGATCCTTCTCCGCAGTATTTTATCCACTTGATGCTGCTAATACTAAAGCATCACGACCCTACTTTTCCAAAAACAAAAAACAACTTCAAATTTAGGCCATGTTTGGTACACATTATTTTTTTCATTTCATTCTTCTACTCATTTTCAACCACACATTTTTCAATAAAATAATATTTTCCTTCACATCAATAACTTTTCCTTCATTTTTAACCACACATTCTCCATAAATCTACTATTCAATAATACATTTTTTCAAAAG